ACTTTTTTTTTTACGTTTTAGGCAAGTGCTGCTTTTTCTTCTCCAAAAACAGCTCTCAAGTAAAATTGTGGTGGATTACTATAAAGCACACCAAGATTGCCCCAGAAATGGTCTCTCATGTGAGTACTTTTACTTAGTAAGCTTTTGTATGATTATGAAATCTTAAATCATTCTCTTTGAAATTCTAACTTCACAATCATGCAGAAGAGAATTGGGTTCATGCATTACGTATCCTCATATTATATATTGCCGATTGGTCTCTTTTTCACTCCAATTGGCACATTTACCATCACCATTACATATTTCCATTACCATTAAACATTAATGAGAAGCATTAATAAACATTATTAATAAACAAAATACACATTTAATAACATATTTTTACTCTAAACATTCTAACGCTGCATTGTTTCACAGCACACAAGTTTAATAACATGTTAAAAGATTGGTGAAGCGCAGAGGAGTTGGGCCATTAAATACTTTCATACCAACTACTTTTCCACCTTGACCAATAGAGCTCACCATTTACTGCATCAAGCACCAGTCTCATTCTCCACCATCATTTTGCCTTTGTACAAAAAGATTTACAGCATTGCATTGAACTTCAGTGTATCTTCTTGCGAAAATGATACCTAAAAAAATGCACACAGTAAAATAATGGGGTCCTCATAAGGGTTCTCCATAAATTTTAAAACATTTTGAAACTGGACTTTGTGCGGTTTAAGCTAGATAGCTGCACAGGACACACCACCTCTGCAAACCACATCATAATTTTTCCATATGCATGTGATGTCACTTGTTTTTTGCTGGACAGAACATAGATTTGTATAGACTTGTATGTTTGTATAGTATCAGTGAGGAGATCACACACAAGATGACCAGCCACTGATACGCAACCTCCACATCAAGATCTGATCAACGACCAACCACATACCTAAACATGAGGCCCTACTGCATCTTCATCGTCTGTCTCGTTCTCTTCACCTTCTGCTCACTGGCTCAAAGTGAATGTGCATCTTACTTCTTGATTTTTCCTTGGAAATGTCTGATAAACAACTGCTAACAATTTAACATATATTTATGAGGCATTTTTCAGATTATTAAAGGGGTCATGAACTGCATTTTTTGTTTCTTGAGGCACACTTATAATGTTAGTATGATTTTTTTACATAAAAATTGTCATAATTTAGAAATAAACGGCTATTTTCTACCCTGATTTTAGTCCTCTGATTTGAACGCTTGTTGGAAGGGGTGTGTAAACGGCCACTGCTATGACTGTTAAGTCACTTGCTTGACGCATCAACAGCAATAAATGATTTTGAGACACAGAACATCTAACTGTACATGCATCATCCATATCAGAAATCACTGATCGCAGATGAGGCATTAAAATGAACACGGTTACTTGCGTGTTGTGATATTACTATAAGGGTCCATATCTTACAGTGAAACACTGAACTAACAAATAATGCCCAACTAAAGAATCCACATAGTTGAAAATAAATAACCACCTTCCTGGGATTAGGATCATTTGGAAGGTAATATTATTTTTAGTTTAGCCGCGATGATGTAAGTAGGCATTGATCTGATTCTGAGGAGGCGGTCCTTGTCGCACTATGACTTCATAAGAGGACAAATTCTGAAACGAGCCAATTCTGAAACGAGCCAACTTCTGAGCTTGGTTTTTGTTTTTTTTTTTAAAATAAAAAAACCCAAGTAAAGCAGGTCGAGAGTTATCATACTACACATACTGAATGCCACAGGAGTGGTGTCATGTAAGTATTTTTGTAATGCCTTAATTAGAATCATTTATAATTGTAAATCGGTTATGTAAAATCATTAACCATCTTCTCTTTGAATTTCAGTTTCATCACAAAAGCTCAAAGAGGGATCTGTGCTGACCCGACAGAGAGATGGGTTCAGAGGGCAATGAACTTGGTGGACTTACGTGTATTACATCTTCATACCAAACCTGAGAGGTCAGTTGCCCTCTTTAAAGTGGACACAGGGGCAAAGTAAACTGCTTGTTACAGTATATATATAATGCTTTTACATTTTTTAAAACAAAAAAATACTGGGTTACAGGTACCTTGTGAATGTCTGTAACTGACTGAGCAGAACATTTGATCATATGATTTGACAAGCAGTCAAAATTATAATTTTGTTTTTCCCTCCTGAAAGGAAAGGATCAGGGTCAGTCAGAACATCAGAAACTATACCACTCCACCGACCAGAGGAAACAACTCTAGTCCCCTTCAAAGAGTCACAAGACTGGTCAGATTTTCTCCTATTTTATGATATCTGTTAACTCAGGAAGTCTTGGAATGATCTAAACCCTTAGCAAGCATTGTCAAAATGATATTGTTCTTCCCTCCTGAAAGGAAAGTGTCAGAATCAGTCAGAACAGCAGAAACTACACCACTCCACCAACCAGAGGAAACAACTCTAGTCCTCTTCAAAGAGTCACAAGACTGGTTAGAATTTCTCCTCTTTTATGATAGCCTATCTGTTAACTCAGGAAGTCTTGAAATGATCTAAACCCTTAGCAAGCATTGTCAAAATTATATTGTTCTTCCCTCCTGAAAGGAAAGTGTCAGAATCAGTCAGAACAGCAGAAACTACACCACTCCACCAACCAGAGGAAACAACTCTAGTCC